CCGTTCTGCAGCAAACAATGGCGGACTGAAGACATAACGTGGGAACACGACACCAAAGCGAAAACGAACACCATTGCATGTTTAGGCCGACGTCCAGATTTTTTCAAAACGTCGACCCCCAGGGGTCTGACCCCTTCCCGGGGACCCGTTTCTCATTCTTAGTTGGTTTTTGAAGGTCCCGAGGCCCAGGTAAGGGCCCCCGGATGCTGCAATATCGAAAATCATCCCGCCGTGGATTTTTCATGACACGAGGGGGTCTAGGCTCTTTGGTTCTCCAGGAGCGTGCGCGGGTGCCGCCGGGGGGGGCACCTGGAGGCCTCTGTGCGGAGTCGGCCCTCAGGAGCGAAACACAGCGTCGAGAGGCGACTGCCGACGAAGAGCAAAGGACATGAGCACAAAGTCGGCCTTGACTGCAGCAGGTCGACCCTGCCAAGTCAGGGGTACCCTTGTGTCCTGCCTTTTTCATTCCTTTGGCAACGTAGCCCTCGGAAGGGTCTTGTGTCGGCGTCGCCCTGACATACTAGTACTATGTGTGCGTCGCCATCCCAGGGGCGACGCGCGCACCGAGAAATCTTGCAGTCTTGCTAAGGCCTTACGGCCAGTGCCGCCGACCCTGGATACCTCGACTCTCGAGGGTAATGGGATGCGTAATACGACGTCGGAGGTACATGAAGACATGGCGGAGGAGGAGGCGGAGGAGGATGAGGAGGAGGGAGAGGAGGTGAAGGAGGAGGAGGAGGAGGAGGAGGAGGAGGAGTTATTAGAAGAAGGAGGAGGGACGGGGGGAGGAGAGGAGGGAGGAGAGGATGAGGAGAGGAGGAGGAGGATGAGAGAAGGAGAGGAGGAGGAGGAGAGGAGGACAAAGGAGGAGAGGAGAGAGGGAGGAGGAAAGAGGAGGAAGGGCAGAGGAGAAGGAGAGGAGGAGAGGGAGAGAGGAGGAAGGAGGAGAGGAGAGTGTGGAGGAGGAGGAGGAGGGAGGAGGAGGGTGGGGAGGGAGAGGAGGAGGGAGGATGGAGGAGGGAGGAGGAGGAGGGAAGAGGGAGGGAAGGAGGAGGAGGAGGGAGGAGGATGAGGGAGTAGAAGAGGAAGTATAAGGAGGAAGAGGAAGGAGAAGAGGAAGGAGGAAGGGAGGGAGGAGGAAGAGAGGAGGAGGGGAGGAGGGAAGGAGGAGAGGGCGCGAGGTGAGGAGGGGAGGAGAGAGCGAGAGAGAGGAGTCAGATGAGAGGAGGAGGAGGAGGAGAGGAGGAGAGGAAGGAGGAGGAGGAGAGGAGAGGAGGAGGAAGGAGGGATGGAGAATGATGAGGGGGAGGGTAGGGGATGGGGAATGGGGGAGGGGGAGGGGAGATTGAGGGGGAGAGGGTTGCGCGGGGGGATTCGTATCTGCCCCCCCACCCCGTGGGGAGGGTAGGGAGGGGCTTCGCCACGACTACGATTTCCTTTCGTTTCGTGTTCGATTTCCTTTTATTTCGGGCGACGACGATGACGACGACGACGACGACGACGACGACGGTGATCCACGCAAGACGACGACACCGGGATGCGTCTTCCACACGCCGACAGGGTCGGCGGATATGCGTCGAGGCGGGCGCTTTCTGGCCACACCGCTCGGCTTGATCGGGTCGGATGCGCGCCTCCAAGGAGGACGTATGGTACTAGTATGTCTCTGTGCGTCCCAGTGTCCTCCCGCGTGTCCCCGCCAATCGAGCCCGACTCAGTCACCGCCAGAAGCGGCCACCCAGCAGGAGCGGCCACCCAGCAGACGAGCTTGCGGTCAAGGCCACCCAGCAGAAGCGGGCACCCAGCAGCGACTCAGCTTCGGGTGTCCTCGCCTTCCGGAGGCCCGCGCGGATTCCCTGGGTCGCCGCTCCCCGGCTCGCCCGCGGGGGCGCGCGACGAGACGGGCGCGCCCCGCGCCTCGCAGCCTCGCAGCCTGGGCTGGGCGCGCCTGCGCCCAGGAGGGGCGGCGCGGAGGCCCGAGGGGCGCGAGGATGGTCGCGCCTCAGCTCCTCGTCCTCCTCCTCCTTGCTCCCTCCTTCTCCTCCTCCTGCTCCTCCCCTTCCTCCTCGTCCCACCTCCTACCTCCTCCCTCCTCCCTCCTCCCTCCTCCCTCCTCCCTCCTCCTCCTCCTTCTCCTCCTCCTCGTCCCCCTCGTCCCCCCTTCCTCCTTCTCCTCCTCCTCCTTCTCCTCCTCCTCCTCCCTCCCTCCCTCCTCCCCTCCTCCCTCCCTTCCTCCTCCTCCCTCCTCCCCGTCCTCCCTCCTCCACTCCTCTCCCTCCCGTCTCCTCTCCAATACCTCTCCACTTCCCTCCTCCTCCTCGCCATACTCGCCTCCATCTTCTCCCTCCTCCTCCTTCCTCCTCCTCCTCCTCCTCCTCCTCCCCTCCAGTCCTCGTCCTACCCTCCTCCTCCTCTCCTCCTCTCCACCTCCTCCATCATCTCCTTCTCCTCCTCCTCCTGCTTCCTCCCTCTCCTCCTCCCCTCCTCCATCCTCCTCCTCCCCCCCTCCTCCTCCTCCTCCTCCTCCTCCTTCCTCCTCCTCCTCCTCCTCCTCACCCTCGTCCTCCCCCCTTGGCTCGCGGCCAACACCCCTCGTCGCCCAGTACGACCGGGCCCCAGGGCTGTGCCCGCCGATTCTCCTTCATCTCTCCTCCGTCACCACATTTTTCCTCCCTCCTCCTCCTCCCTCCTCCTCTCTCCTCCCTTTCCACCCTCCCTACCTTCTTCCTCTTTTTTTTCCTCCCTCCTTTTCCTTCCTCTCGTCCTCCTCCTCCTCCGCCTCCTGCTCCCGCGGGTTCAGCGCACGCCCGAGCGACCCGCGCGGGCCTCAGAAGGCGTACTCGCCTCCGGTCGTTGGGAGCAGTTTGTTTTTGAACTTTCAGATCCCAGTCTGCTTTGGCCGCCTTCGACTTCCTGGCGTCTCAGATCCCAGTCTGACTTCCCGGCGGCTCAGAGTTTTTTCGAGCCAGGCGTGTTCGCCCAGATTCGGTCGCTGTGGCCCTCACCGATCGGATTTGGCTCGAAGAAAGGCGCAGGAAGATGGGGTCTAGGGCTCCAGTCGCGATTGTTCGCGATGTTTTTTTCGAGAAGTCGGATCTCATGGATGATCGAGTGGTTTCACTTTTCCTTTCCTCTTTGGGGGGTGGGCGGGCGCCCAACCTATTTTCAGCGCCTTCTTCCGACCGACAGGTATGCTGCCGTCGCCGTCGCCGTCGCCATTGCCGTCAGTGTCGCCGTCGCCGTCGCCGTCGTCGTCGTCGTCGCCGTCGCCGTCGCCGTCGCCGTCGCCGTCGCCGTCGCCGCCGTCGCCGTAGCCGTCGTCGCCGTCGCCGTCTTCGTCGTCCTCGTCCTCGCCGTCGCCGTCGCCGTCGCTGGCGTCGACGTTGGCGTCGGCGGTATCGGCGTCGTCGGCGTCGTCGTCGTCGTGGTCGGCGTCGTCGTCGTCGGCGTCTCCAGCTCAGCGCGGGCCTAATGCTCAGACGTGCTCGCGTTGTGATAACAATCAGGACGGGAGGGTAATCGTTGTTTTTGTTGGACTGGGGGCCCTTGGGACCGTCAAGATGAGGAACCGCTCCCAGGGTAAAGGGTCGGGACTTCTGGGACCGCGACAGAACAAATCAGGACATCCCGTGTCTGGACGTTCGGCGCAGCCGTCCAGCTTCCGCGCCGAGTGCCGTCAGGAGGCCGCCGAAGACTGGGTCTGTATTGCTAAGCCTCCCACATAGGGTCTGAGTAGATGGGGTCGGAGTACAGAGGGGGCCCATGCCACAACACAACCTGCTTGCCTCCAGGGTGCCCTGGGTTTCTTGGGTTTCGCTGGTTTTGCCGCGGAAAGCGTGACGTGCCCACGCCAAACATCGATAGACGTCCTGGGATCTCAGGGTTGGATGCCGTGTTGAAGGTTTCTTGTGGTTGGGCCCCTACCGTACATAGGGTCGGAGGATCGCGCCGCATTGACGATGCTCGCCGATGCGTTCCATGCTTCGGAGGTGCATCGGCGATGCATTGGCGATGCAGTGCGATCTTCGGACCCCACCTGCTCAGGCCCCAGTTTGGAGGCGTCTAGTGATCGAACGCGTAATGTGTAATGTGTTTTGCTTGTGTTTTTCCCCGCTCCCTCATCTTCTGGGCTAGCTCGCCCAGCGCTGCCGCAGGACTTCACCATCTTTCTGACGGCAATCTTGCTCACCCACCCTGGTCTGGAGTTCTTGAGAGAAACTCAGGACCCTGAGTGGCCTGGGGAGGAGGACGACGACGAAGAGGAGAACGGGGACGGGGAGGAGGAGGATGATGAGTACGGATGATGATGATGATGATGATGATGATGATGATGATGATGATGATGATGATGTTGATGATGATGATGATGCTGATGATGATGATGATTATGCTGATAATGATGATGACGATGATGATGATGATGATGATGATGATGATGATGATTATGATGATGATGATGATGATGATGATGATGATGATGATGATGATGATCCTGATGAGACTGTTGATGATGGCTGATCTGATGGTAATGATGTTGTTGATGAGGATGATGATGACGATGAGGATGTGAATGAGAATGATGACGAGGATGAGTATGCTAATTATGACGTTTTTGATGATGATGATGATGATGCTGATCATGAACATGATCATGCTGATGAGTATGATGATGATGGATATTACGATGATGATGATGCGGATGATGATGCTGATGCTGATGATGAGATTAATGATGATGATACTCCTGACGATGATGATGTTGGTGATGAGGATGCTGCTGCTGATGATGTGTTGATGTTGATGATGATTGGGAGGAGGACGATGGCGATGAGTATGTTGATGATGGTGATGCTGAGGATGAGGATGAGAATAACGATGCTGATGATGCTGATGATAGTGATGACGATAGTGATGATGACGATGACGACGCTGACGACGATGACGACGATGTTGCGAATGTTCTTGACTATGCGCAGTACTACGAATTCAATGATGATGATGACTGGTGGTCGTGGTGGTGATGGTGATTTGAATAGTGACGAAGATGATGCTGGAGGCGATGCTGTTGCTGATGTCGACTATGTGTATGGTGAGATTGTTGGTATCAGCGAGGAGAGTGGTCATGTCGATGCTGACGATGATGATGATGCTGATGAGGATGACGCTGATAATGATGCTACTGATGATGATGATGCTGATGATGCTGCTGATGAAGATGAAGATACTGATGCTGATCATGATGCTGCTGATGATGATGATGATGATGATGATGATGATGATGAGGAGGTTGCTGCCGCTGATAATTTTAATGGTGACGCTGACGACGATGATGATGCTGCTGATGGTGGTGGTTATGGTGGTAGTGATGATTATGATGCTGGTGGTGGTGATGATGATGCTGCTGATGTACATGATGGTGGTCGTGGTGGTGGTGGTGATGATGTTGCTGCTGTTGATGCTGGTGCTGATCTGGATTATGGCGAGGATGAGGACGTGGACGATAATGAGGATGGTGGTGGTGGTGGTGTTTGTGGTGACGATCACGACGAAAGCGATGGCGACGACGATGATGATTATGGTGATGACGACGACGATGATGATGATGATGATGATGATGATGATGATGATGATGATGATGATGATGATGATGATGTGGCTGATGACGTGGCTGATGATGATATGATGATGATGAAGCTGATGATAATTACGATGACGATGACGATGATGATGGTGATGCTGATGATGATGATATGATGATGATGATGGTGATGGTGATGGTCATGGTCATGATGATGATGATGATGATGATGATGATGATGATGATGATGATGATGATGATGATGATGATGATGATGGTTGTGATGCGGATGACGATGGTCCTGGTGGTGATGACGACAATGAGGAGAAGGAGGATGCGGAGCAGGATGAGGAGGAGGAGGAGGAGGATGCGGTGCCCCCCGGCACGGCATGAGTCCTCCTGTGCACTGACCGTCCAGCGTGGCAGATGCCCCCATGTCTGCCCCATGGTAACCGGTCGCTTCCTGCACTGCGGTGGCAGGTGCTTGTCCCCTGCATCCTCACATCAGCGTCGAGCCCGGGAGGAATATAGAGAGTGGGCCGGGCCTTCTCAGGAGAGAAGGCTCGGCAGTCCCCCTGGCCTTCCGAGAAGCTTCTCGAGCCCTCCCCGAGGACACGGAGAACTCGGAAGGTCGGATGGCATCTGAGAAGCCCCGCCGCCTTCTGAGACGGCCTTCGGGTTGACCCAAAAGGGGGTCCAGCGACAAGGGGGTGGTGCAACAGATTTGGTGCAATAGATTTGTGGGGTTGCAATACAAGTGGGGCGTGCAATACATTCCGGGGCGCAGATGCATTGCTGGATGATCGCGTGCAACACATTATTTGCATGCAATGCACTGCAATACAACTCTCTGGCGCAATACATCTGCAACACAAGTGCCCCAACTCTATGGCACCACCTCCTTTCGGCTGGACCCCCCTTTGGGGCCACCCGCACGTCTCCTCCCCGCTTTTCCCCCTTTTGGGCCACCCCTTTTCCTTTTCTCCCCCTCTTCTCCTCCTTTTCTCCTCCTTTTCTCCCTTTTTTCCCCCTTTTGGGCCACCCCTTTTTGGGCCACCCTCCTTTTTTGGGACCCCCTTTTCTCCTCCTCGCTTTTTCCCCCCCTCGCTCGCCGCCGAAGACGTTCGCGCCTCGCTGCCTCCCTCCCCGGGGTCGGGCGTGGCAGCCGCACCGGCCAGGGGGGTGGGGGGGGGGGCAAAGAGGGGGGTGATGACTGGGGGGGGGGAGGGATATCATGGCATTGGCATGGGCCACGACAGTTCCCCAGATTTCGAGCGCCTCTTCTTACTTCATGACGTCTCTGGCTCCCCCCACTGGGCCGCGCACATGCCGCCGGCCACGAGCTGCGCCCCCCCCTCCTTGGACGCCCCCCCTCGTGGCCGCCCCCGCCCCACGTGCAGCCCGCTGCGGCCCCGCCGCGGGGCGCCCCTCCGCCTCGATGCCTTGGCGCCTCTGGCGCGGGGCCTCGCGGGGGGACCAGTCCCCCTCCTCCTCCTCCTCCTCCTCCTCCTCCTCCTCCTCCTCCTCCTCCTCCTCCTCCTCCTCCTCCTCCTCCTCCTCCTAGGTGGCCCAGGAGGTTCTGGCGCGGCCGAAGGGGTCGGCCCGCTCTTCTCCAGAGCCCCTTGAGCCCGAGTTCGGAGACTGGAGCACATGCCAGGCCAGCCACAACTGGGGGAGCTGTGGCCCTGACCCCCCTGAGGGGCCCATCGATTTCGACACCCCTCTCGAGGGATCGTCGATGCGATGTGTTCCCCCAGGGGGGTCAGGACCACAGCTCCCCCAGTTATGGCTGGTCGGTATTACCAGTGGCGGGCGGTTTTTCAATCCCAGGATTTTTCCCTACCTAGGCTCTGCCTAGAGGGTTCTTACTCTCTTTCTTAAAGGGGCCGGGCAGTGCACACCGCCCCGGGCGGTTCCCCCAGTATCCGCCCCGCGGTTCCCTCAGTTACGTCCCCTTAGCTCAGCGTTGCTTATCTCATCTCAGCTTAGCTTATTTCATCTTAGCTTAGCTTAGCTTCATCTTAGCTCAGATTTATTTTAGCTTAGCTTACCTTCATCTTCGCTTCGCTGAGCTTTAGCAGAGCACAGCATAGTATAGCGTAGCGCAGCATAGAGTAGTGCAGCATAGCTTATCATAGCATAGCCCAGCATAGCATCGCATAGCTTAGCATAACACAGCGCGGCATGACATATCATAGCTTATCATATCATATCATATCATATCATAGCATAGCATATCATATCATAGCGTAGCATAGCATGGCATAGCATAGCATAGCATAGCGCAGCATAGCATGGCATAGCATAGCATAGCATAGCATCGCAACTAATGCTGCTTTCCTAGGGGCTCCAACTTCTAGGTAGGGTCGCACTGGGGTAATTTTGAGGGTCGGGGACGACGTCGGGGTGGTGTGGTGTATACTCGTTTCCCCGTTTTCTGGGGGAAACAGCGAAACAACTGTATACACCAGGATCCCGTATACACCAGGATCCGTTTTATTGTTTGCAAGTTTCATAGCAGGCCCGGAACACGCGTCGGTGCATAGATTTCGGTTCCTTACTTGAGCCGATTCGCTGCCCCCGCTTTCTGGCGGGCGAGGAGCGGTATAACAGTGGGGGTCCATGCCAAGAAGCACCCTGCTCGCCTCCAGGGTGCCCCGGGTTTCTTGGGCTTCGATGGTTTTGCTGTGGAAGGCGCGACGTTGCTGCTCCTCGCCCCCCGCGGCTCGTGCGCCCCTGGGCCGCCTGCCGAGTTTCCCGGAGCACCGGTTGGGGGGGGGGGGCGCGGAGACACACGCGCGCCTCGCGCGCCGCAGGTCCGGGCCAGCGGGCTGCCCGCTCTCAGGGAGGCCCGCGGGGGGCGCGAAGGTGACCCGGAGGGGGAGAAGTCAGTATCGTTTAACCGATCCCCATCCCGATTCCAATCCCCATCCCGATCCCCACCATCCCACCACCCCAGTTGGGGATATGCCCCTCGAAGCCCGGAGGGAGCCGCCTACATCCCCATCTCGGGGGTAAATCGGCCAGTGGGGCCCAGGCCACACCAGTGGGGATATGGATCGGTTGAAACGATGCTCATAGAAGGTGACTCGGAGGGAGAGAAAGTACCCATACAGTGGGGGCCCATGCCAAGAAACACCCTGCTTGCCTCCAGCGTGCTCTTGGTTGCTTGGATTCCGATGTCTTTGCGACGGAAGTCGTGACGCTCCCACACCAAAAATCCATGGACGTCCTGCGGTCTCAGGGTTGGGTTTCTTGTGGAAGGTTTCTTTGGGCCTCCTGGGAGGCCCTCGTCGCCGCCGCCAGACTCGCCTCGCAGTCCTGGTCAGAACGCACCCCAGGGGAGGTCTGGCGAGTACGTAGCAGTATCGGTACCCAAAGGTTTCCCCAATCACCGCGCGTCGCGGGGCGCGATGCGTGATGAGCGAGGCGACCAAGAAACTTTCGTCGTCGCTGCTTTCATCCAAGGTCTCGTGCCAGCACGTGCGCGCAGTGGCGTCGCGCACGCGGAGGCTTCCTGTAGAATCTAAGCTCCGTGGCGGGCGCGTTCTGGGCCTGCCGCTCGGGAGCCGACGTGTCGCAAGGTGATTATGCCCATTCTCGGATCGGGCGTGCGCCCCCAAGAGGGGCGCACCGTGCCAGCGTGCCCCTCCGGGCCCCTTTCCTGGGCCCGCCCGTGCGCGCACCGCGCGCGCAGGAGTTCCAGGACCGCTACGCGGACACGGTGCGCCGAGCGCGCGCGGCCGGCCGGCCGCCGGCGGGGGCGAGGCGCTCGACGCACCGCGGGGGGGCACGCTCTGCTTGCAGGGCGTGCCCCCCTCCGCTCGTGGCCTCGTGGGCTGCACGCCTCGACCCAGGCCTGCGGGGGCCTTGGCCTCCCAGATGGGTCGGAGGGATCGGAGGGGTTTCGGGCCGCTCCCCGAGGACGTCTCGGGCGACTGGGGCCTCCTCCTCCTCCTCCTCCTCCTCCTCCTGCCTCTCCTCCTCCTCTCCTCCTCCTCCTCCTCCCTCCTCCTCCTCCTCCTCCCTCCTCCTCCTCCCTCCTCCCTCCTCCTCCCTGCCTCCTCCTCCTCCTCCTCCTCCTCCTCCTCCTCCTCCTCCACTCCTCTCCTCCTCCTCCTCCTCCTCCTCCTCCTCCTCCTCCTCCTCCCCTCCTCCCCCTCCTTTTCCTGCCCTCCTCCTCCTCATCCTCCTCCTCCTCCTCCTCCTCCCTCCTCCTCCTCCTCCTCCTCCTCCTCCTCCTCCTCTCCTCCTCCTCCTCCTCCTCCTCCTCCTCCTCCTCCTCCTCCTCCTCCTCCTCCTCCTCTTCCTCCTCCTCCTCCTCCTCCTCTTCCTCCTCCTGCACTGCGGGCTTGGCGGTCCAGACGCCGTAGCTCCGCGCCGCGCCGCAGGCCTAAGCGGCCGCGGCCGACGCTCCGTCGCGAC